AATCCAATAAAAATAAAACCCTGGTAGATCCTTTAATTTTTTATTTAAAATAAAGTCAATTCAATTTATTATTTCTATTTTTATTATTATTTATTATTACTATTTATTATTTCTAACTGGTCTTTACACTGTGTCTAATCCACTAGCTATCCTGTTATTTATATAATTTTGTTCTTTTTGAACTTAAAGCATATTACCACGGCCTTGAATTTTATTTTAAAGCATTACCTAAAGATTATGAATCCTATTAAATGCCTAGTTAGAAATAACACTTGGTCAACATGAGATACTTTTACTTTCTCTGAATTCTGAAAATTTTATTAATTTTTATTTACATGCTTAATTTTTTAATTTCATTCATACCATTCTGAATCTTTCATTGTTCTTAATAAAGGGAGCTGCCTATATGTACCCTTAAGGTCCCTTCCAACCTGGTATTCTATGAATCTATATATATAATCACCTGAGAGAATTTAGAAAAAAAAATAGAGAAAAATACTGGAATATCTAGGCTCTTTGGTCAATGAGAATTCTGGAGAAAGATAACAAGTGTTTAGTATTTTCTCTTGCAAGAAATTCTATTAGACAGATGTTCATGCAGCTTTTAAACTTCTCCCATTATGCAGACAGACACTGAAGGTTTTCCTGCCCTGTTGAAATAGTAACTGTGAATCTCTAGACAGTCCTTCCCAAGACAAATGTTTAGGCACACAAATCCTGAAACTGTTTAGAACACACCTACTACACTATAACTACTGCAACATAACACGTACGTCTGGAAGAAAGCTATAGGCCCTCCTCTTCACACTGAAGTTGGTGAGTGTACTGGCAGCAAGACCTAACCAATAGTGACAGACCAAAATCTCAAATATTGCTCCGATAAGAAGAGTACTATTGTGAAGTAACACCAGGCAATACAGGAGTGTTTACACGGGTGTAATAAAGAGCAGAGTTTCTGTTTTCTTTCCATAAATCAGCTATAAACATAGTGGAACTCTTCAACACAGGACCTATTCTGTATTTGTCCCAGCCAGCACAACACCACTGTAAGCAGTAACACTGCTGAGTAGGTAATACAGATATTTTATTATTACCTGTTGCTTGCAGCAATTCTGAATACCTTCTGAACATCAAAAGCAACAGAAACATGTGTCTAACCTTTTTACTCCCATCATCCTGATGCTGCTACATTCAAGACTTTTCCTCTTCTGTTAGGTCAGAGCAACCCAACAGTTTTCTAACTCAGGAGAGGTGTATGTTATTACAAGAAAACAAAATTGCAGTCAAATTAGTTGTAATATTTTGCTAATTATACTCCTAAAAATGTAAGTGTGTGAGGAAAGACTGCGTGAAGGCTTTGTTCCTCCTACTAGATGCGATGCACTTGGTGATCCAGAGCAGTTCCACTGAAGTAAATGGAATTTTAGCACCATAAAACAAAAATAAGGTGCTTTCCCCCCCCCCCCCCCCAGTTCATAGTACAGTACTTTTTGCCACAGAATGAAAAGAGAAAAATGAAGTTCGCTTTTCACATTAAATAGAAATAATTCACTGTATGCACAGAGAAAGAATAGAGGGCCAAATCAGACTAAATATTACACGACAAAATCTGAGAATAAGTCAGCATAAACACCCCAGCTCTATTCCTAACACATTGCCTGAGATGCACATTCAGTCTGGGGACATTTGGCTGACTGGCTCACAATCTCATCCTTCTCTTGGTTTCAGGGTACTTCCATTGTGTTCAATTAGATTGTTATTCTTTTCTAGGGTAACCACATTTATTATTAAATATGGCACTCCTAGGAATTTTGGAGATACAGAACTCAACAGATAAAAGGGATTTGTTGCAGTTTAGCTGGTTGAATATTTCCAAATTTCAACCTTGTAGACTTACTCTGTACATTTTCCTGGATGAAAGTTGGGTGGCATATTTTGGTTAAAGGAGGAAGGCTGTTCCATTTTAGTGGCATCAGTAAATGACTTTTGGAACTGCTGTTGTTTATCAATAATACAGTCATATTAGGGCTTAGTTTTTGTAATATTCCATGTGGTTTATTAATGAAACTAACTTGATAACTTTTATTCTTCTTGAAAAAAAAAAAAAATGATAACACACAGATGTGCAAACCCACATTCACGTTTTGTTTTATTGGTGCGTTACAACATTACATTTCCTTCACATTGAGAAAAGCATGAGATTAAAATACACTGATCCACAAAAATTTTTCCTACGCTGACTTTGCACTGGTAATTACAGCGCCTACAGATCCCTCCACGAGTTTCACTTAATTAAGTCTTTCATAATTTTAATTACATTTTAATAAAAGCTTTTACATTGTCTATTTCATGACTTTCAATTCAGTCATTCCCATTAAAATACATTATTATTTACTGCTTTGCAAAGTTCACCAATTACTCTTGCAATGTAAGTCTTTATGCTGCATTATATTTCATATTCCAATCTTCTAACAGCCAGTACTCATTTGAGGGCTGTATAAGCTTTCCCCATCCCAAAGAAGATAGCCTGTTTGTATCAAAAGCCATTAAAATACTGGGAATGTGTACAGCACAGTTAGGAGGCCCCACTCATTTTTGAGAATAAGCCAGATCTATATAAAAACATGCAAAATGCTCTATGCATCAGTATTAAACTTCTAATTTTGATTTAAGATTTTTTTTTTTTTTTAACATTTGCATATAACCTGGAAGACTAGGTAAAGAAAAAGCTAATGGCTGAGCCCTATAGAATGTAAAGACACGATACCCTTACTCTAGGGCTTTCATTAATCCTCCCATATGAAGTAATAGAAAATGATATCCTTGTTACAGAATTCTGTAGGATGGTTTAAAAACCTTATAGAAAGATTAAACCTCCACTGAACTGTGTGGATTTCTAGAGTAAGACCTCAATTACACTAGAGGAGCGTTCTGTCAAATCCAGTGCAAATGCAATGCCAGAATAATTTTGTTTTGCTGATGCTAGTTTTGCAAACTAGCATATATACACCAGCAAAACCACAGTTACATTTGGGTAACTGTCTCTGTTCTCGAGCTCAGAATACTGTAACTGTCACTAAAAAATCCTGTCTCTAATTGACGCAGCCAAACTGGCTGTATCAGTTTTACAAGTAAATCAGGCATAATTTCTACAGAACCCTCCTGAGTTCATGCCTATTACATTCCGTTCCTTAATGTCATTTCCTATTTATAGCAATTTCCAAATATCATATAAGTTTATACATAGCATAGTTGCATCCTCTTGTACACAATTATTACATTTATTTCTCAAGGGATTCTAATTTACTTGATTTCTATAAAAATCCAAGTGTTGCCAATCAGGAAGTAGCTCTTCTCCGAAAATCTACAAAGCTTACCTTTGAGAAAAGTAAATGAGAAGCCTTACATAAAGACATTGAGCTGTTTGAATCACAAAATGCCTACAAGGCCAACACATATTCCAACAGGAACACAGAAATTATAATTATGGCAGCAGTTTCCTCCAGTCTAAAGCACCGTAATAATGGTCGTTGATCAACACTATCTTGATCGCTTTAACCAGAAGCTCTGGATAAGAAATGTTCAACTGCCAAGACGTGGTCTGGAACATTCGCCTGCATTTTTACAGGGTATGCAAAAAACAAAATAAATTATGGAATCTGACATTCTGCCAACAAAAGGTACACAATCAGAATTTCAGAGGAATGTGATGTCTACTGCATAGTGCATACAACAAAACAGGATCCTACCAATAATAAATTAACTAAAGTCATACAATTAGTCATCTTCTCCATACCAACAGTGTTTTGATTCAGGTGGGTTTCAGTTCAGGTACCAAGCCAACTTGCACAAACACCGTGCTCAAGAACATGATGAGCTGAAAATGTGGAATGGGTCTAGTGGAAAACTGTCTTCAGCATTCCTCTGAATATGTTACAGTGTTGGAGACCACCACAAGCATTCATGGTTGCACGCTCAAAGTCACAAATGGAAATCTTTGCATTTCTTTAGATCACCAATGCTGCAGTGAGTTACTACACAAGAATGAACATGGCACACCAAAATTCACAGAAAACATTGTGTTTCCTTACCCTCACAGTTTTAGGATTTTTTAAAAAATTTGTTTTAAAGACTTCAGCTTGTTGAATGTCATGGGTGTCCTTTTCTTTCATTTTGTTTTGACAGTAATTACTACAAGAGCTCTCAAAAAATTGCTCATGATGTAATACCAAGTTTCTAATCCATCCTATGACCATATATGCTATTGGAAGATGACAATTTTAACAGTGTAGAATTTCTTTAATGTCAGCATCATCCTCTGGAACTACTAATGCAATGAGGCTTGGCTCTTACAAACACTTGACCATTCTTTCCCTTCAGCTGCTTGATTATTAGTAGCTCAGAATAGCCTTGTCAAAACTTGACAATTAATACAAAGTTCTACCAGCATGTGGAGATTTGTTTTATGTTAGAAGGCAACAAGATAAACTTAAGGATGATGCCCTAACTTATCAAATTATATAAAGAAATCACTGGCCACAACAGATGCTGAACATCTGATGAAAAGTGCTGTGTGTACTCACCACCCATCAAAATCAATGAGTGCTGAAGGTGACCAGAACATTCTAGGAGATACTCAGTACTTCAGAAAATCTGTTTCCAGATCTACTATATCCTCAACCACATCTTCTTAAAATGACTCTCTTAACCATTCTCCACATGATGTTGTTTTTATTAATGTTCTTTCTCCTTCCCTCAACTAGTCTATCTGTTTGCAGTAGCCCAAAAACAGATAATTCAGCAAGTCAATATGAATTGAAAATTTAACTTTAAAAGTATGTATGATGATACCAGGGTATTAAAAATAAAATATTTAATTTCTCTTTATAAAAAGGAAAGAAACAAAAGAAAAAATGTCTACAGTAAGAAACGCCATGTTAAGAGACCAGTTTGGAGGAAATGTGAGAAGGCTAAAAGTTCATTCTGCACATTTCTTAAAGTCATACAGGACCTTCAGTTATTCCCTCTAGAGGCAGGCCGGTAGCATTATCTGCTGTAGGTCTCTCTTCTTTCTTCACAGAGTTCTGATCTAGCAGGCTGACGTAAGATTTATGACAAGCTGTATTGCCCAAAGGAGGGTAGTGTTGTCTGTAGCAAATATAAGCAAAAATGAGGCCAATGATCCCTCCAACGAAAGCATCTAGATAAGAAAAGCAACAAAACCAGAAGCACGTTACCATGGCAAGGACAGTCAGTAGTGATAACTGTAAATAAAAGACACTTGGTTGACCTGGAAGTGCTTAACCCAGAAAATGTGAACCTCACATTTTCATAAAGAATTTGGAGCCAAATACCACAACCATGTAGGACACACACAAACACGTAGACACATAAAATCAGGGTCATCTCCAACATTTTGAATACCCAAAATGTAGATGGTTGGCTGTAGACGTTTAAGGAGATGAACAAGAGGAATAGAATGGCCTTTATGGGACATTAAACATTTGTGATGTTCCAGCTCACTGCTGGATAACGTTTGTGGGTAGGCAACCCACGTATCTTCTTCCAGTTTGCCATGACTTACAATGACCACCAACAGGTTTTCTATTTATGAACAATACAGACAAATTATGCTGTTTACAGCATCCAGAGCTCTCCCGCTGACAGGTACACCTCAAACTATTGCACAGACTATAGTCTGCTCTTTGTCTCTCCTCAAGTACCCCTAGGAAAGATGGCAGCTAAAGCGCCAGATCTACTCTTGACTGTTTAATATTCCAGAAGGCATTCTCCAATGCAGACAGAGAGCATGTAGGTGTCCTGTTTTCAGCTGGGATAGAGCTGATTTTCTTTTCAGTAGCTAGAACAGCGCTGTGTTTTGGACTTAGTATGGGATCTGGTATGAGAAGAATGTTGATAATATACTGGTTTTAGTTGTTGCTAAGAAATCAAGGGCTTTCCAACTTCTCATGATTTGCTAGTGTGCAGGTGTGCAAGAACTTGGGTAGGAGCATATCAAAAGCAACAGACCCAAATTGGCCAATAGGATATTCCATATCATATAACTTCATGTTCAGCAAATATCTGAGGGTTGGTTGGGAAGCTGGCTCTCTTGCTTTTCCAGGATTGAAGTTTTGGGATCTCTCTCCTACTTCAGGATTGCTAGCCGGGAACGAGCTGGGACTTGGTCCATGGGTGGTGAGCAACTGCACTGTGCATCACTCATTTGTATATTCTATCGTTACTATTATTATTATTATTATCATTATTATTATAATTTTAGTTATCATTATTATTTCAATTATTAAATTGTTTTTATTTCAACTTTTGAGTTTCCTTACCCTTACCCCTCCAATTCTCTCCACCATCCCTCAGGGCAGAGGGAGAGGGTGAGCAAGCAGCTGCATGGTATTTAGTGGCCTGCTGGGTTAAACCACAACAGTAGGATATAAGATGGAAAATTATCCTCTTTGAGGAAGTGGGCCACTGTAGCTATTGCCTGATCTTGTGTTTAATCAAGTGCAATCAAATCAATCTCTGTGCAGTCAGAGCAAAACTTCACTGAAAATACACACTGACCTTGAAAACTTCAGAACTGAACACAAACAACAATGAAAGTGAGGCAAAAGGCACTGGTTAGAATGTGGCTTGACACAATGCTTTATTTTAATGAGACTTACTAAGCACCAGCATATTATCTGTGTATACCTGTGGTTCTATATTTTACTATCAGTTGCAAAGAAACCACAGTGTAATAAAAATAGCAAATTGTTCAGTTTAATGACAAAGAAGGGTTAACCAATACAAATTATTTTTGTTTAAAATACTTAGGTACAGATTAAATGCCCTAGTTTGTCAGTCTAGTATTTATTAAAACACAGGGCATGTGGTTCAATTTTCAGTGTGTAATAAATGGCTTGAAATCATCAGAGGAGTGAGAGTCTGAAGAGATTTTTAACAGGAATACCTAGGGCAAGAAAACCTGAAAAATTTAAGATTGAGATGGATGAATTTAAGAAATGTGATTATAAGTCACAGTTGTCTGTTGGGGAAGAGGACAAGACTGAATGACCTAGGAGATCCCTTCTAATCCTACCCTACACACAAAAGGACATAACAAATCTATCACAAACAAACGTAACAGAGACTCAAGTAAGATTTTAAAAGCTGATTGTGTGTACACAGTATTTGCAAGCAGACAGAAGCTTATCCTACCCATACTAGAAGCTGGCTGATTTTGTACCATTCAAACTGTCCCTGTCAACCTGTCACGGAAAAAAAAAGTGCCAAGGGCAAAAATTTTCATTATAGTATACCATTACAGTATCAATCAACTTGTAAAAGAATCTAGTTATTGTGACAAGTTTCATTTTCAACAAATCCATGTTGGCTGCAATTCTGAGATTACCCTCCTTTAATTGTGGGTGATTGAATTCTGTTCCAGCTGCTTTTTTATTTTGCTTATCAATGAGCTCAAGCCTATGTTTACTATTTTTAATTATGGAGAAACACCAGATTTCTGCCAGTCCACTATACGTTCCCTGATATTTCAAGACTTGCTGAAAACCTGCGTAGATAATTTCTTTCAAAACACTACATGTAAACTATACAACTCTGGGCCTCAGTTTGGGCACTACAGTAGTACAAATTCACTACATGATTTATGACAAAGATTTCTAGCTTACTGACCTTAACTGGGGGTACTGAGGAAATATACAGGCAGCTATTTTGACTCCTGTTTTTGAAGACAAAATTACTGTGTTTTGTTTGAGCTTGTGGTAGCCACAGCTGACTTTTTTCCCCCCTTTTATTTTATTTTTGCCAATAAAGGAAAAGAATATTCTTTCAATCTCATTATTTATCTTTACTTTTTTTCATACAAAATTTCCATTTACTTCACTAGTAAATTGACATTTTTCAGAGTTAAAAGCCCATGCAGAGATCTAAAAACTTAAAAGGAGTCAATACATTCAGGATTCATAATGAAATATCATAATATTCACCAATACAAACACTACAATCTTGAATAGTACATTCTCCAGCCAAACTGAAGGGAGCTTATACAGAACTCATAATATTAATGTTCTGAGCCCATTCAATGGCTTTTTAATGTAAGGATACTCCACTCCATCTTTCACCTACAGTATACTAAGCCTCCAACTTTATACTGATGGTCCTTGTTCACTCCCCACAGCATAGTTAACTCTATCACAAAGCCACCATAAGTAATTTAACATGATCAGTTGACTCTCCTGAGCATAAAAGACAAGGCCTGAGCTTCTGTGCTGTATATTAGAGAGTGAACTAGTCTCTCCCTTGAGAGGGCATTCTTTCAGGTAAAAGCATAGGTCACCTGCAGAACAATGCCTGCCAGCACTGTTCTTAGCTTGGGAAGAGCTGAGTTTTCAGCTCCATCTCCTTAAAATTCAAAGACAAAAATATGAGTGGCTGTAATGAAAACAGTCACAACCCCTTGGGTGTAGTTTCCTTCTATTACATATAAAATACAACACAAAAATCTCCCTTGTAGCACATGTTTCAGCACATTAATAATTCTTACTCTCGGTAAGAGATAGTACAAGCTGCAAACACACATCCAAAACTAGAGTAAACCTGTACACTCCCATTCACGATCATCCACCCTCTTCTCTCTCTCTTTAACAGAGTTCAAACCAGACAAGTGTCAGATATTGAGCAGAGATTCATAACTGCCATCCATGGGAAGGCACACACCTCGCATTCAACAGCTTTGTGCTGGAGGTTCTCTCCAACTCTGAGTGTCGGTGAGCAAAGAAGAGTAAGGAGCCCTGCAACAAGACAAGGCATCTGCAGGAAACCAGGAGACTCCTTAAAGGACATGTCAAAGCTAACGGTGATTAAACAGCTACGGGAGAACAGGATGGTGTACGAACATACAACAATGTGTAACCAGTATGAACCAGGTAACTGAAAGGACCACTCAGGACCTTGAGGGGAGTATAATTTGCAAGGCCAGTAGTACTATATCAACACTACCACATAAAGCCAAGGTGACCTACATAACAGTATCAGAATACCAGGTCTGGTATTTCTGATAGGAATATGGGGATCAATGGGCAAAATGTAATTACAGGCTTTACTTCGGAGGAGACACGAGTGAAGAAAGGCAGGTACAAAGGTGGTGAAAAAGAGTGTCAAGAAATGATAAAAGGAAGAATGGATGGTAGGATTTTCTGACAGGGAAAGTGTAGATGCTGACAGACAGTAGTAAGCTGACCTGCGGATGTTCAAGAGAAGCCATGAGGACAACCTGCCAGACTCTCCACCAGGTCCATGTCTGAAAGACTCATTGTGGGAGGGTGAGGAGTGATATAATTCTGACTTAACAGAATGAAGTCATAGAATTGTAATTTAGTAATATGTGTGTAATTAGTAAATAGTATAGCTTTCTATATCAGTTACATCTCACACCTGAATTTTAAAGGACTCTGATACAGTTTTCCTGTGACAAATGCAGCTGGTCTGACTGGCGTTGCACTCCAGAAGTGCCTAGCATGAAGGAAGAGAAGATGCTGCAGCATAGCCCTGAAACTATGAAGGTCAGTAGTAGTTAATTCAACCTCACCAAGAAATCTCCTGAAAGGTACCTGCTTTAGTTACACTGTATTATAACAATGCCTCTTTCATATGAGAATGCTTATATAATATGGAGGATCCAAAGTTTCCACTAGGAAGAGTAAGAAGCAAATGAAAAAGAGATGAGGATTAAGCATCCTTTGGTCTGTCAGTGTTTCCCTTAAGAATATCCCGTTGTTCGTTACACATAGACTTTCAAGGATGCATGTTCATCCAAAAGCACATATTTCAAACAACTCAGCTTCATATGAAATGCTGCAGTTAAGAGTCTTATGAGCCACCTCCCATTCTGTCAATAACTGTCACTCCCTCAAAGGTAAGGTGTAAGACTGTATGTCATCATTCTTTTAGCTTTGTAATGTACTTTATAATCAGGAAAGACGTTGCGTGTTGCCTCAATAACCTACTCATCCATATTGAATACATTCAGCATTCATTCATTTGCAGTTACAAATTAATGAATATGCATTGGTACCACCTGTATGGTACCATACTGAATCCATCACCCTAACATCTAGTCAGGATAACAACTATCAGCCTCAAAATATTTGCAGCCCAAAGCTATGAAAAATCATTTTTACTAGGATGTAACAAGAAGATTAAATACTTCTCTTCCTTAAGTAGGACATGGGAAAGCGTGGAATTGACACCGTGGGAGCAATTACAACCTTGGTCAAAAAAAAAAAAAGATAACAGAAAACATCCAACTTTGCACCAAGGTTTAAAATGTGAGCAGAATATATTACAACCTGTGCTATGCAGCTTGGTATGCAATGTTTCTGTACTTCTCAAGCAGGGGCCATGAATCCGTCTGATGCCAAATATACTTTGATTTGAATGAAAATAGTGTATTACATTATGTGCATTAAATGACCAGAACGCAGACAAATGACTGTGTATCTTTGCATTGACTAGCTACACAGAGATGTTTCAGGCTATCGTAATGCACATGCAGCCACGTATTAGCAATCACTCACATCCCCAACAGGTACCTAGCAGGTATCTGGAGAAGCAAAAGGCAAGGACTAGGCCACACGATGGAGTCATTCTGACAAGCCAGATCCAGCCTACAGCTGGATCCATCTATGATGCCTATGGCACTGATGGACATTTGTAAAAAAATGATGTAAAAAACCCCATTGGTGTAGATTTGTATATAAATATTACAATGTACATCGTATATATAAAAATATAGAATGGTAAAGGGCCCCTACAGTATTTTCAGACATTGAAACCCTCAGCATCAATCCAGAAGCAAGGAAAGTCTATAGCATATTGTTGTGTTTTAGCTCATATGATTTAATGAAGAAAAAAAAAAAATCAAAGAAATACAAGGCTAATAATTAAAAAAAAAGAAGTAGAAAAAAAGGTATCTCCATGGCTCACCTTGCCAGTGATGTTTGTAATCACACATACGTGACAGGGCAATCATCATGGCACAGTAAAGTGGGAGAATCGCTGCACAGAGCCTCCAGCTCTTCCCCCGGCCATTTTCCGTGAAGCAGTGTAACTTTCCAGCTAAGTAGAAGGTGGTAAAGCCAAGACCTGAAAATGCAACTGATAAAGAAAAAACACATAATTACAGTATTTTGTTGTTAACACTGTACGATAATATCCCTTAAGATCCTGTAAGAGCTGATAGCGGGATCCTTCTACTGCAGAGAAGTCTTAGAATTTCTAGGGTGATATTAGGAGTTAAGGTAAGTTAAGAAGATCCATCTGCAGAAAATTGAGGGAGTTTCATAATTTGAATGGTGATTCCTATGTAACCATATAAATCACACAGAATCACACAGAATGTCAGGGATTGGAAGGGATCTCAAAAGATCATCCAGTCCAATCCCCCTGACGGAGCAGGAACCTAAATGAGATCACATAGAAAGGTGTCCAGGTGGGTCTTGAATGTCTCCAGAGAAGGAGACTCCACACCCTCCCTGGGCAGCCTGTCCCAGGGCTCTGTCACCCTCACTGTAAAGAAGTTTCTTCTCAAGTTTAAGTGGAACCTCCTGTGTTCCAGCTCACATCCATTGCCCTTTGTCCTGTCATTGGGCATCACTGAGAAGAGCCTGGCTCCATCCTCATGACATTCGCCTTTTACATATTGATAAACATTAATGAGGTCTCCCCTCAGTCTCCTCTTCTCCAAGCTAAAGAGACCCAGATGATGCTGTTAAAATGGTATTTTAAAGGGATGCAGCAAATCGCCTAAGTAGAAAGGTTTTGTCTTTTCTTTTCTTTTTTTTTTCTTAAATAAAGCAATCATGATCTTACAAACTGTAAAAAAAACCACAGTGCACTGGGGACTGAATGTCTCCCACAAGATCCATGGTGTACATATGTTCTCCACAGCAGGGGTGTTATCTATGTAGCAACACAAGCAATCAGGCAAGCAAACATTGCAAAGCAAATCGACTTCCTTCCCATAGACACTCGGCTTTCACATAACCTGACATGTCTGCAAATCCTGTGGTACCTCTAGACACCCATCTATCCAATAGCAATTGATTTTTTTTTCCTTAAGCAATTTACCTTTTTCCTCTGAGGGAGATATCAGCTGTGGAAAGAATCCCTGATTTTATTTGCACATTAAATTAAACATTTAGGCAAAGTTTTAAATTGAGTCATGAAAGCTCTTTCATGCTTAACCTTGAGCAGGTCTTTCTTGATTTTAGACCTATTCTAAAATGTTAAGGTTCAAAGCAGAAAAGGATTCAGTCAGTTTACACTGCAATTGAAATACATGTAAATGAGATTTTTAGGTTCCATTAACCTGTATCTATAGAACATGCTCAACTGGCAGTGATGACAAAACTCAGGCACCAGGTTTCTGTACTGAACTTTTTTCCTCTTGCAATTGTTCAGCTTCCAGAGAGATGCTGGATGGATTTTATTTAAAAAAAATGTACATTTTTTAATTAAAAAAATCCTTTTTTTTTTTTTTCTGTAGGAAAATTAGTGCTGCTGCTGAACAGGTAGTTCTGTCAAATATATCTTCTATTTTCTCTACTAACGTCACACTCAATTTTGTTCCTGACTGCAGAGATCAGAATAGAATAGAAGCATGTAAAGCACAGATAGCAAAACTATAAATACCTATCCAAACACTTTAAATTCTTTTTCTGACTACCTTTATACTTTTTATCTTTGTGATACCTAAGCACCTGTATAAGAGGTAAAAGGTCACATTCATAATGCAAATTTCTGTTCTGATTCTGCTATCAGTGAACTTAATGGTAAAATCACCACCCATGCTGGGTCAGACATGCAGCTTTCTTCTCATCTCCTGCTAGGGCTTTTCAAATGCCCCTCTCCTCATGTTCCCAAACACTAGATGCGACAAAGTAATTCCTTTGGGTTCTGCTGATAAAGCTATGGGATGGTCAATTTTAGCTGACAGTACAATGGAGTGGTTTAAGTTCATACTATGCAGCTGTTTGAATGTAGTTACTGAAGATTTGCATTTCATCTTCAAACACACAAATAAATCACTTCTTCAGACTGGATGTGGCAGAGCAAGACATACTGCTGATAGTATACCAAATCTATTGTTTCCTAGAAGCTTTATCAATCCGTGCTGAGTCTGTACTTGTCTGAAGGCAGTGGGGGGCAAACTTTAAAATATAACAAACAATTCTCAGTAAGTAAAAGATTTCTTGCAGACTGAGTTACCTTCTTGTATACAGACCTTTGAAAGTAATATAAACTTGTTTTGCTTTTCAGACTATCTGTTGGACAAGAAGAAATCATTTCTTCTGACATTTCTGTGTCATGGCATTCTTTTAAACGAATGTAGTTTCCTAAAAGTCGCATGTCTCACACAGAAACAAGCTGTGAGATGCACAGTTAGAGCACTAGGCTACAGCTGCCATGGAAAAAAAAATCAATTACCCTGATAACATATCTCAGATAATTGGAATACCTTCTCCCTTCCTTTTCAAACATCATCTCCAACTCTTAGGACCCTGTGTAGACTGACACATTTAAAAATAAACATTTCTTCTTTCCAGTGTAGGTCACATTTGCTTGATTAGCCACTGGAATATGACAAAAGACAACACTGCTCACTTTCGCGCTCTTCCTGTTGCACTAGATAATTTTTGTGACATTGTCTTTTATATCAAAGATCTGCAACTCTTCATAGGTTTGAGTTTTGCTTGTTTTTTTTGTTTGGGGGTTGGGTTTTTTTTGGCTAACAACACATATTCATATCTGTGTGAGAAGACATAGGGTTGTCCATTCTGCAGACCTTCAGGACTAGAAACATATATAAACTTACCTGAGACTGCAAGGACAGGACTTGTCTGCATCATTCCATCTTCCAGTCGAGTAACTGGAGTGAGGAAAACTAAATCTGTCTTGGATATTTATTATCGAGTGCAATCTTGGAATGAATACTTTAAAATACTTCCTCCCAAAAATTAGTTTTATTTTCATATTTCCATTTTTCCATCCCAAGTTTATTATTTTCTAGACCTTTAGAAGAAATCTGAAGACAGTATTTCCATGCAGAAGTTTCAAGTGCTTTGTGGTTTTATTTTTCAGGCAATCTACAATGCCCAGCAATTTATAGGGCTTAAAGAAATATTGCCCAAACTGTAGCGTAGCTGTTCTATTCACACAGACTTGTATTCAGGATTACTAGCATTTTTCAGGCAATTGAAATGTATGGTGGACAGCAGCAACAGATTTAGCTAAATGGATTTTAGAGCAAACAAACCTAGTGATATTTTAAAAAAAATATATATATATATCCCCGGAATTTGTTTTTATCAGGAGCTGCCACATTTCCAGAAGGAGGTGCTCATGAATGAAATTTTTACTTGCACTAGACACAAAGGCAGTTTTTGCCTTAGATGGTTTATGCATTCTTCCAAACTAAAGGTCCAGAAGAAAAGAGACTCACAAACACTCCTCCAGGGCAACAAAAGCCTAATAAAAGATGGAAAAGTAATACAATGATGCATTAGCTTGTGGCTATGAAACTAATATTCTGCAGAGCAGCTTTACATTGCAATATTGTAAGATTGACTGCCCTCACCCTGGAGCGTGCACATCCAGAAAGAGCTGCTTGACCCAATAGTCCCAGAGTAGCAGAGTCAGCAGCAAAGAACATGGAATTAACAGCAAAATGCTCTGGGATGTGGGAGTATCCACTATAAAGGTAACTATATATTCCAAGACAACTCGATTGTTGTGCACTCCATGTAGGCAACTTTGATGGTTGTATTTTGAAAATGTTGTTAGTCAGTACCATTAAGAAAAATAATTCATTCTTCAAGAATCCTGAGCCTATAGGTGATATTTACACTGAAGAATTGGTCAATCAGTAGAATATACTTGAGCTTTTTTTTCCTGCACCAACTGGAGTCAATACCTCACTGTATCACAAAGAAAATGCAAACACACACATACACACATCACATGCCCTAACCTATTACATACTGCCTAATGTTATAATAAAAATTATCATTCTGCATAAAAAGACAGATTCCAAAGAATCAGCAAAGCAATGCTCCTCATCTACAGAAATACTCCTGTTAAGCTGGTTTCTTCCCAGACCATAAGAAATTAATACTTTTTTTATATAAAAAAGTCAAGAGCAACATAAAATTCCAACCAGCCCTCTTTGGAAACATTGATACAAATGAAAATAAGAAAGTCAGTCTGATTGAATTTGAAACAAAAGTTAACTCAAGACAGATGTTGATCTAAATTTCAGATTTCATTATATAATTATATAATTTAATATTTAAGTGTTGGAAGAGGAGAAAGGAATGAATCAAACACCCACTACAAAAAAAAAAAAGAGCCATTTTAATCAATTGGTGTAGCAGAAACAAAAGTTAACTCAAGACAGATGTTGATGTAAATTTCAGATTTCATCACGTAATTATATAATTTAATAATTTATTTTAAGTGTTGGAAGAGGAGAAAGAAATGAATCAAACACTCACTACAAAAAAAAAATGAGCCATTTTAATCAATTGGTGTAGTGAACAAATCAAAGTTCTGACACTACAAGTTGCTGAACACAGGAAAACCTCTCCTGAGACAAACCACGTGTTCTGCCAGGGTTTGAGAAAATGCCGTAGATACTGTGAAGGTACTGAAAGACAGAAAATGGAATATTTGCATTGTAGCAGCTCTGAAAGGTCCCAGTTGAGACAAGGTTACCATCATTGTAAGTGCTACGCAAACACACAGAGAGGACTCTGTCCCACAAAGCTTAGCAACTAAAGAGTCAAAGGCAAAGGAAGTGAGGTGACATGCAAAGAGAAGGGATTTGCTCTGTCCAGGACGAAACCTGGCTCCTGGACAGCCAGGGTCTGTGCCCTAGCTCCAGGCTTGCTCTCCCTCTGCCTTCTGAAAGTTGTTATTGAACTCTTCAAATAAGGAAGTTATAGTTTCTTAAGAAATTAACAGAGATTAAGGGAATTTTGGAATGAAAAAAGAAAATTTAAGTCTTGCAGGAATAGGTGCTATGAGCTACTTAAAGGGGATAAAAGACTTGAAATGAGAGAACACGTTAAGCATTATTGGATTTGTCCTTTTTTTTTTTACTTGCATTTCCTGATCTATATGATAGCATCAAATAATCAGTTTAGGGTGAACAGGGCTATTTAAACACCAGTAACAATCATGGATTTGCAAATCTTTATACCTTTCTGAACAGATTCTGAAGGGAGTTGAGATTCATTGTGCATGTTACTCACGTTTTGAATTTCTTTAAAGGAATCACTGGGATTCATGTCTTTTATGGGTTTGCTCTATTTATATGGTTCTATTTCAAACTATTACCTACAAAATCTTTAATGATGCATATACACTTTCCAGATAATATTAATGGTACCTAGATAGTGTCTCTGTCATGAATAAATATTAGTTTAGGAAAAATTAAATGAGTTTCCATTCCTTTTTGTATCTGTTCTAGCTGTTTCCGTAATGTAGACCTATTGGTTATGTAGACCTGTCAGTAAAAGATGTCTTAACTGATTTTATTTGCAACATGGCTATAAACCATTGAGAGACTGTACTGCAAGTTCTGTCATACTACCCAAGCCAGCAGGGTGGCAGAGATCAAGCACGTTGTCTCTCTCTTCTCATCAAAATTAATTCCCTATTCCCACTCCCAGAATGAGCCTTTTGAATACCAGTTATATATGGGATCGATCAACTTGAAGTCACCACCTTAAACTGGTTCAGTTCACAAAGGGTACTGGGTTTTTTCTCTAGAGATAACACTGCCTATTTTGCTTGCTGAAAAAGGACTGTTCAAAAGTTCACAGAGTTGGAAGCCAGAAAGGACCAGCTGACCTTTTCATCTGATCTCCTATATATCACACTATGAAGTACGATCCAGTTAGCACCAGAATGTCAGTTTGGATAAAGTACAATTTTCTGACAAATAATTTTGAAGATAGAGGAGGAGAATTATCTCAGATGCAAGAGGACTTGTAACGCCAACCACCTGGTGAAGTTCTTACTGACAAAACCATGATCAAATTATAAACCACCATCACCATGGACCACCTTCATCTGAGGATCTGATTCAGTAAAATACTTACAATAGAAAGAGAAATATAAACGTTGCTAAGTAAAATCAGTAAGGCTCTCCAACAGCCTTTCTACAAGCAGTGCTGCTTCCACTTCACAATAATCAAGTACATGCAGAATTGATGCAAACACTCTGTTACAAGCACCTATTGAGGTAGAAGCGAAAGGAAACGTCTGAGTATGTTTATTTACTGTTACAGAAATGACACAAGCAAAATAACTTCAAACAAAAATCAAACCAAAACCTGGCATGCCTTCTGCCCAAGGAACTCAGGTTCTAAGCCCTCATCCAGCAATTGGATTAAAGCGTGCAGAACCTTGCCACCCTGGAAAACCTCAAAGTGGATAATGGCATTCTGTAAAGGTACCAGGTCCTCCAAGCCTTGCAGATCTGATGAATGAGCAACGAGTAGAGGGTAGAAAATGGAAGAGTCAAAACAAACCCAACTGAAAAGGTTTTTAGAACTAACTGAATAGCTGTAGACTTCTGCGTGAAGACAAGAAAGTGTTGTTTTGACCTTTACATCCTAATGGTTTAGGAATTACCAACTTATGAGAATGCCTCTCACTTTGTTTTGTGTAGGTGAAGTATCTGGAACTGCTATTGGAAGGCACATTTTAAAACTATACCATAATGGTACTTGAAGCATGGCAAAAACCAGCTTCCTCTTGGGCATTATCATTGGAATAAACAAAACTACATTAGACTCAATCTTTCAGTTTGTTTCTATCACCTTCTTCAAAAAATAAGAGTTCACAGAAGAAATAAAGAAGATGTCAGCATCTGGAGACACTGTAGACCCCATCCTGACACCTGACTCTCTCCAGACAGGGGACCTAGGTGAGTTTAAAAACCCATCTCTATGAACCAAACAGATTACCATGTTGAAATGCATGAAGTGAGAAACTGAACAAGAATCTGATTCAAAGCACCCCAAATAAATTATTCATTAAAAATGTAATTGGTTTTGTGGGTGTTTTCTGGAAATTAAACTACCTTACAAGGATCTTCAGCTTCTCAAGTTTTAATGGCTACTTTGTGAAGCACACAATATGTGTCTTCTTTACTCTGAGCAGTTTTTGAGCTGAAGAAAAAAATCCTCAACTTAAATAAGTGGCAACAAATTATGACAGTGCAGAACAACCACTCAAAGGGCCTATGTAACAATGAGAGAAAATGATCCATCTCTTGGTCTGTAATGCTTTATACTGCAGTGATTACTGTATATTTTCCAAATGCAAACACATACTATTCATCACTGAAATTACACAGCAACCTACTGCAATTTTAGCTGGGGCTACTGGTGAATGTTTTCAGTTTTACACTCTTCAAAGACTGACAAATTTATCTTTCCTGAAGGAAAAGGTATGATACCAAATAGCTGCATAAATTTTAATGCTGAAATTCAATTCAAAGAAGATTTTATAGAAGTACAATTCCCAGATAAGGTTATTATCACAGATTTATTTTTTTTTTCCCAGGTGGGATAGTCCTTCCCTTTGGCTTAGTTTTATTAGGTTTTTTTCAGAAAGAAAGACACTTCAGCAGAAGCAACATGAAAAGCACATTACAAAATACAAATGTACACAGGGACTTGAGAAACAAAAAAGAAATATTGGAGACAGAGACACTTTACAACAAAAATATATCTATATTATCTGAAAAGCGAGTAAATAGACTATTAGTCATTAGGATGCTTTTGCAGGACTGTCACAGCAAATTCTCGTGAAATTTTTTTCCCCCCCCGACGTATTTTATCTTCATGAACCTTTCAAGGTACATCATTACACCTGAAATATCTGAAGTGGTCTCAGGATGCATCTCATTGCTACCAAAACACAAGAACTAAGTTCTGATTTGTTCAGTTAATGATACCATTTACAATAAGTCCTAAAAGTGTACCTGTTCCAAAGCCTGCTTTGCCATTTCTGTTGACAGAAACCTTGAACAAATCCCCTTTCTCTGAGAACACAGTAGAGACAAGCCTAAAAGGGCTCAGATTCTGGAATTACTTTGAAGAGAAGGGGTCAACACTCATGCACTAATTAAAGTGGCTTTAGCATTAATAAAAGCTACAAGACTGTCTTGTAAACTCAACTCTAATCATACAATTCTATCAGAATAGAAAGACATCTTTCTCTGCAAGGTATGTTTTTTATTCTTCACTCACTTCCAAGATCTCCATGCTTCTCAATTACACTTGGTGAAATTAGGTCCAAATAATCAACTATTATCAGATTTAAATACAGGACAGAAAGACATCAGGATGCAACTGGTCCCTGAACACATCCATGATCCATCATGAGGATTTGAGCAACCTGATCTAGTGGAAGGTGTCCCTGCTGATGGCAGGGGGATTGGAACTAGATGATCTTTAAGGTCCCTTTTTCTCAGAGATTACTATAAGTGGCTTCACTATGATGCTGCTCTAGCGTGGTCCCTGGCTAATGCACTCTTCTCCTTACGGGCATCAGGAATACCAAGAGTTGACTGATTCTTTTATTATTATTATTATTATTAT